CACATATAAAGTAGAGGAAGATGGGCACGGATGTTAGCTCAGGGCCAGGCTTCCTCTGCAAAAAAAGAGGAGGACTGGCAGTAGTTAGCTCAGGGCTAATCTTCCTCAAAAAAAAAAAAAAAAAAAAAAGAGAGAGAAAGAAAATGAAAAACAAAAAGGCCCTGAGGTCCAGGCATTGATTTTTATTCTAAAGCACTAGAAACTTCCATCTTTGAATAGTTTAGTATAAAAAGAAAACATGGAAAAGGAAGGTTAAGGGAGATAGTATTTATGGCAAACCCACTACATTCAAAGTTCTGTCATCTTACCCAAGTGCTATACTGTGGTCAGAATGCGTTGATGCCTTTGTGTAAAGAAGCAGAATTTTGAGGGAGTCCACATCTCAAATTCTGTTAGTTTAACTAGAAAGATATAATGCCAGGACCCCTTTATTTCTTTTTTCAAATTAATTTTTAAATTTTTATTTCTAGATCACTTAAAATAAATATTTAAGTAATTTCAGACTTCAAATAGTTTCAAATTTACAGAAAAGTTGCAAGAATAATAAAACTCTCATATACCTAGGTAAACCAATTTTTAACATTTTACTACATTTGCTTTATAATTCTCTGTCTATATATATGTGTGTGTACATATACAAAATACGTGCTTTTTCTTCTAAACCATTCAGAAATAGATTGCATACACCTTGCTCCTTCACCCCTTATAAACAAGGATATTCTCTTACTTAACCACTGTACAGTTATTAAAAACAAGAAACTTAATAAATAATTTGAATTTAATCTATAGTCCATATTTCAGTCTCATTAATTGCCCTAATAATTTGCTTTATAAGCAACTTTTGTCTGGGCCAGGATCCAATCCAGGATCACTTACGTCATTTAGTTGATGTGTCTCAGCCTTTCTTTGTCTTTCGTGACGTGGACATTTTGGAAGAACACAGGCCAGGTATTTTATACAATGATCTTAAACTTGTATTCTCTAACGCATCCTCGTGATAAGTTTGGTGCACTTTGTCTGCAATGCTACCAAAATGGCGCCGTGTCCCTTTCAAGGCGTCCCATCTGGAGGCATGTGATGTCCTTTTACACTTCACTGGTGATTTCGATTGTGATCGCTTTGTGAAAGTGTTGTCTGGTTTCTCCACTCGATAGTTACCATTTTTCCTGTCGTAATTAATAAGTAACTGTGGGGGATACTTTGAATAAACATTGTTTCTTTTCAAACTTTCACTCCCCAGATTTAGTTTCCATTGATAATTCTTGCCTTGAGTAAAATTTTCTACAATGGTTACAACATGGTAATTTTGTAACTCCATTATTTCTTCTAACTCCCCTATTAGTTGGCATTCTACTGTAAGATAAAACACTTCCTTCTCTCCTATTTATTTATTTATTCCTTTATTTATTTTCTTATCTACCAGTAAGGACTCCTGGATCTTCATTTTTTTCAGTGAATAATAACCTATTACTCTTATGTATTTTGATGCACTAATTGACCAGGTTTTGGCCAGTTGGCAACATTTCAAGCTGGCTTTTGAGTGTTTTGGACGTGCCGCCATCTTTTTCCTTTTTAGCACATTCTTACTTTCTGCATCAACACAATGTTTCAGGCTAAGCTTGGACTTCTTCCACCTCAACCTTGAAATCAGCCATTGCTTAAAGAGAACCATTTCCTCTTAGTGGGGAATTGTGTTACATGCACTAAATTTCTTCTGGGGTGTCATTGCTCCTAGACTCCTTCAATGAAAAGAGTTAGGAAAATATTAGAAATCATAAGTTTAACTAAAATCAATTCCAAACAGTTTTATAAGGCTCTTCTTTGCCTTCACTAAGCATATTTGTATCTCCTTTCTTATATAGTGGGGACCCTAGCTCCCAACAAATCCACATATTTATTCCTTTGCTCAATCCTATAATACACATAGTGTAGCTTTAGAATTGCTATTGCCACACTGAAGAAAAGAACTAAGAAGAATTCAAGATTTTTTTGCACTTATTTTTTTCTTTAGACCGGATATATAGTCAAATTACTACATTCAAAAGTTATTTAGTTCATTTTTTTCCCTCTTTCAATGTGGCCATGATGTTCATTTAAAAATATAGTTGAGTTTAAGTGCTTCTATTTACCCTCAGTTTTAGGGGATTTTTTTTCATCCTTGGTGATTTATTTTTATTTTAAAATGTCTAAAACATTAACATAACTCTAAAAGTCAAAACTATATAAAAAGGTGTAGTCAGAGAAGCGTTATTCCTGCCCCTATAGTTTCCATGCCTCCTTTACACACACTTTTTGCAGGTAACCAATTTCATTAGATTTTGTTTTGTAAAAGTAAGCAGAACATGCTTTTTAAAAATTTCTCTTCTTACGCAAAGGTAGCATACTATACATACACTTTTGCAACTTGCTTTTTTCACTTAATAAATCACTCCCTATCACTTCTAGTCCTAGCTAGAACGCCATCGTGTGTACGTACCAAGTTTATTCAACCGGGCTCCTGTGTTTGGCCATTAAGGTAGTTTCCAAATTTTGCAATTACAAATGATGCTGCAATGAATCACTTTGTGCATTTATTTTTGTATTCTTGGAGGCGCATGCTCATGGTGAGTTTCTAGACGTAGAACACTGGGTTTGTTTGATACGGCCAAATTCCCCTTTGTAGGCGTGGAATCATCTTCCTTCCCAGCGGCAATGTTTCCTCATAGCCTCCCCAACAGAATATGTTGCCAACCTTCTGAATCTTTGCCAATCTGAAGAAGGAGAAATGGGAAGTCAGTGTAGTTAATTTGAGTTTTTCTTATGAGTGAGGTTAAACATCTTTTTACATGCATAGAGACTATTTTTATATAAATAACTCATGAATTGATGCTCCTCATAAAAACTTCAAGCACTGCAGATAAGTCCCTTTAACCATCGCCCACAACCTGGTCCCATTTTCCCCTACCCAAGGATAACTACTGGGATGGATTTGGTGCATATCCTTCCAGTTCTTATCTAAGGTCTTTACATATGAATATATGTCCCTGGAGAAAGTACACTGAATCCTTTGGTAGATTTTGGTTTTTGTCTTTTACTTTTTTCAGTGTATCATACTATTACGTGCCTTTCTGCAGCTTCACTTTTTTTTTTTTTTACAAAGAAGTAAAACACTTTAACGCTCAATATTTTAAATTACAGTATACTAAATAAATATTTACTTTTACTATTTTTCTATTTCCCCATACATTTATAACCAACCAGAATTTTTAATATTTTGATAAAAAATTTTATTGTGGTAAAAAACACAACATAAAATTTATCATCTTAACCATTTTTAAGTGTACAGTTATGTATATTCACATTGTTGTGAAACAGATCTCAAAAACTTTTCCATCTTACAAATCTGAAACGCTACATGCATTACACAGCAACTCCCCCTTTCCCCTTCTGCCAAACTCCTGGTAACTACCATCCTACTTTCTGTTTCTGGATTACTTTAGATATCTCATAGAAGTGGAATCATACAGTATTTGTCTTTTTGTGACTGGCTTATTTCACGTAGCTTGTCCTCAAGGTTTATCCATGTTGTAGCATTTGGCAGGATTTCCTTCCTTTTTAAGGCTGAATCATATTCCATTGTATGTATATACCACATTTTTCGTCCGTTCATCCATCAATGAACATTTGGGTTGCTTCCACCTCTTGACTACTGTGAATAATGCTGCTATGAACATGAGCGTGGAAATATCTCTTGGAGGCCCTGCTTTCGGATATATACCCAGAAGTGGGATTGCTGGATTATATGATAATTCTATCTAGTGATGGATGATTGAAATAATGGCAAAAGGAGTGTGAAGCACTGGATGGAAGGGACACAGGTCTCCCAAAGCACCTCCCAAAGGAGGCTGGCCCTGCCTGGATGAGTAAAGGTAGGTGGAAAAGAAGGATCAGGGGGCTGAGAGAGCCACAGGAGACTGGTAGCCTGGCTCAAATTATATAATTTCTCTGCAATTTCACTCAAAACTGCTTCTGCCCAGTATCAAAAGTTAAGAGGTGCACTCCTGCTGATAATTCCCTGAGAAGGTAGCACCTGAGCCAAGAAAGAGCCAACCCATCACCAAGGTGAAGGGGCGAGGGGAGGGTGCTGTAGAGCAGTGGAGTGGAGGCAGGGAGAACCGTGTAGGCGAAGGTGTGGAGTGGGAGGAAGTACGGCACATTGTGGAACACAGAGAGCGAGAGGAGGGTGGTGGGGGAAGGGGCTGGAGAGGGAAAGGACGCGCAGAGCCCGGCAGGCCCTCCAGGAGATTCCAACTTTATCCCAGAAGGAATCAGACACCACAGGAAGGGCCTTGTTTGCTGTAGTTTCGTTTTGTTGCATTTGCATTGTGGTGATGTGACCGGACCTGTCTTCTGAAAGCATTATTGAAAGCACCTTGGTGGAGGATACGTCACCAGAGGCACCGGACCGGGTGCAGGAATGAGCCAGGGGCAGCACGGCAGTCCAGGGGAGCCACGCTGCTCACCTGCCCCAGAGGAGAGGCAGGGATGGAGCAAGTCGACCGATTCAAGAGATTTCATTACCTGTCTGCTGTTGGCTGAACTGTGTCCCCCAAAACTCATACGCTGAAACCCCAACTGCCTACTGAGACTCTGACTGGATTTGGAGATGGGGTCTTTAAAGAGGTGACTAAGGTAAAATGAGGTCATTAGGGGGAGCCCTAAACCAATATGACGGGTGTCCTTACAGGAAGAGATTAGGACACGCACACAAAGGGACGACCACGTGAAGACACAGGGAGAAGCTGGCGATCTAACAAGCCAGAGAGAGGCCTCAGAAGGCACCAAATCCGCCAACAGTCGGATCTCAGACTTTCCACCTCCAGAACCGTGAAAGAACAAATTCCTCTTGTCTAGGATGTCCAGGCTGAGGTATTTGCTATGGCAGCCCTAGCCACCATTATGCTGTGCAAAAAATATCTTAAGTGGAGAATAAAACCTTTGAAAAATAAACATATACTCAATTTATTCTAAAAATTAAAATAGACTGGATTTATTAATTGAAACTAGGTTGGTGTAAGAGGGTAAAATTCAAACAAAAGAGCGCTTCTTCAGTATTCCCAACGACGGCCTCTGCAATACAGCTGTATCGTCCCTAAAATGAGGAATAAGAAACACAAGCAATGTAAAATGTTAGATGCCTCCTTTTGTAAGACTTTTACAAGAATTTTCTCTTTCTAGGATGAAGCCTTTTAAATTTAACTGGTTACCATTTTCTCAGTTTTCTAATGAGATGAAATTTTGTATGCCTTTGAATGCAGCAAACATAAAACCCATTTATTTCCCAATTGTGAGAGGATATTGTTTAACAGTTTTTTGAAGCTGGCCTTTGAGATTTTCAAACCTTAGGTATTGTTTGTAACAAAATAGGCAAAAAATACGCATTGTTAAAGTTTATTTTAAAATAGTCACCAAAAGTGAAACATGCACAATTTCCTTGCTAGGTATCTAACGCAAATCTCTAAAATTATGTCATTATTATTCACGGGGGCAGTTCCTGAGTTATACACAGTGGCCATACAGTGCTTTCACCCAAAGATCATTCAACAGATTAATAATGAGCATTTGCGTCACTTTTGGCCATGTATGTTAGAGGAAAAAAAATGAAGTAAAAAAACTTTCTTTTGTGTAACTTTTGCATATTTCTATGTTCTACGGAAAAAAGAAACAGCAAAATGCCCCAAGGCAAATAAAAGTGGAAAAAGATCTTGAACATCTGAATCTTGAATCACTGATTTTAGAAGTTGTAAATGGCTTGTTTCAAATTTAACATATCTGTTACTGCAAAAGGTGAAGAAAGTCCAAAACAACTCTTGAACCATACCTTAGGAAATCGCATTCCCCTGAAGGAGAATGATACTGTTGTATTCACAGTCTCTGCAAATAAAAGACAAAAGTTACTGGTCATTATTAGGTGATTTGTTTCTAGTACGGAGTGTACCTTTAACACTTTTACTACTGGCGGAGGCAGTCGCAAGCAAAATGCAGAGAAATAACAAACCTGCTACCCTGGCTGTGACTCTCCTGTGGCTTCCTCTGCCACCCCAAGCCTCTCTTACTACCAGCCTGTACCTCATCCCTTAGAAGATGCAAACTTTTAAGGCCCACTGGTCTCAGTAATGAATGAATGACGAACAAGCTAGTGCTAATATGCTTCATCCCGAGTTATGTATGTGCATTTGAATACTGCTGCTCCTTTAGCAGGGTGTAATAAAAGAAGAATCTTCCTAAAGGTAAAAGAGATATTTGGGATGCAGCCAGGGTATCAAAGCTTCTTCCAATCCTACCACTGAGAAGCCTAAGTATTTAGTCCCTGTTGAAATGCACAGCCATGGGCCTGGCCCCGCAGAAGCTGTGGAGCACAGAATCAGAAGCGCAAGGAAAACCACCCTCCACTGACCCAGTCAGAAACCAGAAAGGAGTGATCTTACGGGATAAGGATAGAAAGAAAGAAATGTTTTGAACCTCTAACAAGAGCAACAGTGACCAAAAATCTTTTTTTTAAGTACTATAAATACTCAAATGCAAAATTGTGATGGTTATTGTTCTCAGGCTAAAGACACTCCTTTTTAGCAAATGAATAGATTATGTCTGCATGAATATGTCTATTGTCAAAAAAGCATTTATTTATTTGCTTCTGCGTGTCTCCTTATTAGAGGTGTTAACACAATGAGATGTTGGTTCTTGAGTTTAGTAAAGTGTCATGTCTTCATGATCTTATGATCTGTCATTCAAGGCCAATCCAATTCAAATTAAATAGTTCAACAAACATTAATTGAAAGCCTACTATGTACCAGGAACTAAGGAGGCAAAGGTTAGTCCAACACTGTGCCTTCCCCCAAAGTGTTAGTCTGTGGGGGATACAGACATGCAAAGAAACCATCCCAAATGCAACAGGCAACAAAAAGATGCAGTGAGGATAAAGGCAGTGTAGCATTTTGGGTAAGAGTGATGACTCTGGAGCCAGACTGTTTGGATTTGAATCCCATCTCTTCTACTTATTTGGTGTGTGACCTTGGGCAAGTCACTTAACTTCTCTGTGCCTCAGGAAAATGGCAACGGATAATAACACGTACCTCACAGGATTATTATGAGGGCTATATGAGTTAATACACATAAGTGCTCAGAACAATGCCTGGAACATAGCAGTCATTAACCGTTATTCACATTAGAATGTTATTTATTATAACATTAAATGCTATTCCTTCTTTCTAGACCCCCTTCCCATGGCATCTGGTGAATAATAATGATGATGTTATTAATATTATCATTGATATTATTGTTGTTATTCACAAGATGCCATGGGAAGAGAATCTAGAGAGGAGAAAAAAGTGACAGTTGAAACGTCATAAAAGATGGGAAGAAGGGAAAAGGAGAGTATTCCAGGTTCAGGAAGAAGAGTAAAGGCAGGAAGGTGAAAATCAATATGACTTATGCAAGTGGCTCAGAATTATTCAAGTTAACGAGAAGCAGGAGTGCCTAGAACTAAGTCTGAAGAAGTAAGCGTGAATGCGCTCAGGTTCTGCATTTAAGAGAATGGAACAGATGGAAAAACATCCAAGGGCGTGAAATGGTGAGATTTGTTTAGAGAGATGAGTCACAGGACCATGTAGTGGATGGACTTAAGGGGGTCACGCAGAGTCAGGGAGACCAGTCGGAGGCCAGGAGGCAGAGATAGCTGTGAAGAGAAGAGGCGGTGTTTGCCTCCCATGACAGCCATCTCAGGACCCTCTCCTGTTATGATCTGTCTTAGTAACCTGCTGCTTTCCTTGAGAGGACTTACCATAAACAGAATCTTATTTCATTTTTACCTTGATCTTATTTCATGACTTAGTTGTGATCTTGTTTCCTCTACTAATCTATAAGCTCCATGAGAGCAGGGGTTTTGCTTTGGTCACTTCTGAATTTCCGGCTCTTAGTACTTGGTCTCTGCACATCCGGATCCAGGACCAGCTACATGAGGCCCAGTGGAAAATGAAATGGGGGCCCCTTATTCAAAAATCAGGGGAGACATCCCATGAAATGTACTAAAATATAAAGCTTTTTCCTTTTCTTCCACAGTCTCTCTCTCTCTCTCTCTCTGGACTCGCCATGATTTTTTTTTATTTCTTACTTAATATCATTTGAAATAAAACAAAATTTTAAATTTATTAGCATGAATTTTACCATTCATCTTCATACTGCATAGCATCAGTTTTAAACACAAATATCAGAGCATTTAGCTCCAAGGCAGAATCACTGAAATTACACAATTTGTATTTTGTGGCTCATCCCCAGAAGGTGCCTCAAGCCAGACTCAAGAAGTCTGGAAGAAGGAAGAGATGATCTCTGCAGGCGTGAAACAAGCTGAGGGAATGTTCCCTTGGCACAGGGCACAAGGTGAGTGTAGAAGGCACCCAGGGCTACTGCATGACTTGGGCACCTGTGCAAAGCTTGGGCCTGACAGTTGCTTCACAGGGTCCCCCTCCCACATGCTGTCAGATGCCTCATGCCCCAGAAGAAGGTGAGGAAGTCAAATCAGGTGTCTTTCCTACCCGCAGGGCTGTTCTCCCATGAGTGACCCTCAAGGGTTTTGCAACCTCCATGCAATTCACAGGCTACCTGTTGCAGGGGGAGAATCCCACTCCCACCTAGTTGCCCACCTAATAGTGCCGAGGTGCTGCCAGCCCAGGTGGGGTGTCACTGTCATACCCTATGCCAGACACTGCAGGGCACGTGTGCCTGACTCTCACACTCCCTGTATCCAGGCTCCCACCAGGAACAGAGGGCGGCAGGTGTCACTGGATGGGACTGGGGAGGGGGATGCCAGGCAGGGCCCAGGGTGCCAGCAGGGGAGTGGGCTGTGGGAAGCCAAGAACACAACCAGGGGAGGTGAGTATATGAGCCATAGTACCATCATACTTCACTTAAAAACCCATATTCATATAAAATTTATATGGAACAACAAAAGACCGTGAATTGCCAAAACAATCCTGAAAAAAAAGAACAAAGCTGGAAGTATCACACTCCCTGAATTCAAAATATACTACAACTCCATAGTAACCAAAACAGCATGGTACTGGCACAAAAACAGACACACAGATCAATGGAACAGAGTTGAAAGCCCAGAAATAAAACCACTCATCTATGGACAGCTAATCTTTGACAAAGGGGCCAAGAACATACAATGGAAAAAGGAAGTTTTCTTCAATAAATGGTGTTGGGAAAACTGGACAGCCACGTGCAATAAAATGAAAATAGACCATTATCTTACACTATACACAAAAATTAACTCAAAATGGATTAAAGACTTGAATGTAACACCTGAAACCATAAAATTCTTGGAAGAAAATATAAGTAGTACACTCTTTGACATCCGTCTTAGCAGCATCTTTTCAAATCCATGTCTACTCAAGCAAGGGAAACAAAAGAAAAAATAAACAAATGGGACTACATCCAACTAAAAAGCTTCTGCAGCAAAGGAAACCATCAAAGAAACCAAAAGACAACCGACCAATTGGGAAAAAAATATTTGTAAATCATATATCCAACCAGGGGTTAATTTCCAAAATTCATAAAGAGCTCATACAACTCGACAACAAAAAAATGAACAGCCTGGTCAAAAAATGGGCAGAGGATATGAACAGACATTTTTCCTACACAGATGGCCAACAGGCACATGAAAAGATGTTCAACGTCACTAATTGTTAGAGAAATGAAAATCAAAACTCCAATAAGGTATCCCCTCACACCTGTCAGGATGACTATAATTAACAAGACTAAAAAATAACAAGTGTTGGAGAGGATGTGGAGAAAAGGGAAGCCTCATACACTGCTGGTGGGAATGTATACTGGTGCAGCCACTGTGGAAAACAGTATGGAAATTTCTCAAAAAATTAAAAATAGAAATCCTATGTGGTCCAACAATTCCACTACTGGGTATTTATCCAAAGAACATGAAATCAATAATTCAAAAAGATTTGTGCGCCCCTATGTTCATCATGGCATCATTCACCATAGCCAAGACATGGAAGCAACCCAAGTGCCTATCAACAGATGAATGGATAAAAAAGATGTGGTATATATATACAATGGAATACAACTCAGCCATAAAAAAGAAAAAATCATGGATGAACCTTGAAGGTATTATGCTAAGCAAAATAAGTGAGACAGAGAAAGAAAAATACCATATAATCTCACTCACATGTGGAAGATAAACAAGCAAACACATAGATAAAGAGAACAGATTAGTGATTACCAGAGGGGAAAGGGGTGGCGGAAGGGCAAAAGGGCTAAAGGGGCACATATGGATGGTAACAGATAAAAACTAGATTTTTGGTGGTGAACACTATGCAGTCTGCACAGAAACTGAAATATAATAATGTACACCTGAAATTTACACAATGTTATAAGCCAATATGAACTTGTGGGAGATCAGAATTGGCCACAACAAAACGTGTCTCTTTGGCTTGATGAGTCCTCTGAAAGAAACCTTGAGCTCCTTCCAAATGCCTAAAAGAATTTAAAATAGAAGGGCCTGTTCCAGGAAGGAGCCAATACCATAAGATAACTGTAATGTAAGGTAAAATGTGTCCCTCAGCTCACATTGTCTGTAGTCGGCCCATTTGTATTTCCATCTCCATGTAAATTGCCTTCCTCTCCCTTAAAGTCCCAAACCACTACCCCCAAGGATCTCTTTCGTCTTTAGCTAAAAACGGTATTTACGGTAGCAACCTCAGCCATTCTGGCGAGTTGCTCAGTTTTCCTGGATTTCTCCCATGTATACATGTTATGAGGTTTGTTTGGTTTTCTCCTGTTATTCTGTCTCCTGTCAATTTAATTCTCAGGCCAGCCAGAAGGACCTAGAGAGGGTAGAGGAATTGTCTTCCTCCCCTACA